TTGGACCAATGGTTGTATAGTTGGACCAATGGTTGTATAGTTGGACCAATGGTTGTATAGCTGGGCCAATGGTTGTATAGTTGGACCAATGGTTGTATAGTTGGACCAATGGTTGTATAGTTGGACCAATGGTTGTATACAGTATTTGGACCAATGGTTGTATAATTGGACCAATGGTTGTATAGTTGGACCAATGGTTGTATAGTTGGACCAATGGTTGAAAAGACTAAGTGGAAATGTAGTGTTTCTACATGAGACAGAAGATTACAGTCTAGTAACCAGAACAACTGCTGGTGGGACAATTTTGGCCACTTTGGGCAATTCTGCTTTAGAGCAAAGAAAACAAAATACACGTCAGCTGTAGGTCTGAGCTCAGGTGAAAGTACACATAAACTGTACTCAAGTAGAAGTAGTGATACTTCATAATGAAATTACTCAAGAAAAAATAAAATGTACAACATAGTAAGTTACTCAAGTAAATGTAACTAGTTCCTACCCAACTTTGATCATAAGCAATAAATCCAGTGGTGGGCACAGTTCCCCTAAAGCACTAATAGGGGAACTAATCTCCTGGTTAGTGCTTTAGGGCTTTTGCTAATTTTCAAATTTATTAGTGGAGGATTAGCACTTGCTAAATGTATAGGTTACATTTAGAAGCACTAACTGAGGCCTTTAAATGTTATTGATCAATGTTCATGTTGACAGCTGATGATGAAAGCTGTCACTTATTCACCAGGTGATAATTTATGAACAATAAATGAACTTAAATCCAGCTGTAGAATGTCAATGATAAGACTTAAGAGAGCAGCATGACAACATGTGACTCATGTTGTCTGTTGAAGAATGTTCATGGGTTGACTGGGTTGTTTTAGTGCTTTAGAATTAGGGGACCTAAATATTAGGGGTGTAACAATTCATGTACCCGTATCGAACCGTTCAATACACACTATGTATGGAACAATACAGATTTTTAACATTTATTTTATCAGCTTGTCTTCTGAAGATGCTCTGTGTTGAAGGATCAGTGGATCTGTGTTCGACTACTCCACCTAGGCTGCATTTTTGAGCGCAGATCCACTGAGAAACTTGCTGTTTCAGCAACATTTAAATTTAAAAACTGGACTTTAAAAAAATCCTGCTTGTTTCCTTCATCTGTTCTGCTCCTGAGTTTAGAGAGGAGTGAACTCTGTCAGGTGCAGTGTCTTCATACAGCTGCACCGGGCCAAACCCTGGTGTTGCCCACAGTTGTTTTCTTTGTGTAAATACTAATGTAAACGAGGAGTTCCATCATTGAGTTTAATATTATCGTTTATCACAATTTCTGAGACAATTGATCATCCAGTAAATTTAGTTACAGTTTGGTTCTGTTTACATGTGGAACCCGTTGTTCTGGCTCTAACTCTGTCCGTCCTTCAGGTCTCCAGCCAAGATGAGCTCCAGTCCAGCCGGCAGCCTGGACAGCAGCTCCCTGACGGGCTCCCTGTCCCTGGGACCCGACCTGCCCCACTGCCAGTGCTGCATCTCCTACGACGCCCGCCTGAAGCGCCTCTCCTGCGGTCACCTGTTCTGCAGCCCCTGCTGCGACCAGATCGTCAACATGGCCTTCCAGGACATCGAGGGTCTGTCCGAGTACCCCTGCCCCATGTGCAAGTCCCTCCGGCAGCTGGGGGGCCTGGGCCCCTCCTCCTCGGGGGACTTCTACGACCCCTCTGGAGTCCTGCAGGAGCACGGGAGCAGGTCGGGGTGAAGGGGTTGGACCTGAGGGGTCAGATCTCTCTGGCTCAGACTTTGGACTGAAGTTCATTTTTTCTGTGATGTTTGTTTGTTTGTTGTTGTAAACAGCTGACAGGTTTGCTTTTTCCAGAGACTGTTGGAAATAAATGTGGCAGAGAAACTTTCCTTTTGGGCATTTTTTTTAAATAAAAATTTTATTTATTTTTTAAATAATTTTTAAGCTTATTTTTTTCTAAACCTGTGAGAAACTAAAGCAGGAGATTTTATTTTTTTAACCTTTTCTGTCGGACTTCATGTATTTACTGCAACAGTATTTGTTTTGAATTTATTGTTTTAAAGCCACGCCACTTCTAAGTGTTCAGATCGTTTTGTACGTATTTATTTTGTTAAAAAATAAAAGTTTTGAGTCCGTGTATGCCAATCTTTTATTCAGGGAGATGCAGAAGTCAGAAGTGAAAACACTGTGTGCTCGTACAAAAACAATATTTACATATGGCAAATAGAAACGCTCGTACCAAAAAAACAGGAAAGGATGGAGAAAGGCAGAGCGGCGTGACGGGACAAACGATGGGTTGGTTCTGTGTGGAAGACGAACAGATGGGTTGGCATCACACCTGGAACTGATCTCTGCTCCCATGTCTGAATATTTACAACAGTTTCATGATTAGTGAGGAACCAAAGATCAACATGATTCATGAACACTGATGAGAAGCGCTCTGCACTGACAGAGCTGCTGTTTCTATTTAAATGTTTGTGCTTGAATAGTTTTCTGACTGCAGGAAAAACACTGATGTTCTGAGGTTTAACCATCATCATGAATCCAACGGTCTGAGACCAGTTCAGGTCTGAGCTCCAGCTGAACTGGTCTCAGACCAACAGAAGACTGAGCTGAATGTGGGTCCTCGCTCTGCTCCGGAGAAAACACGAGCCGAGAGAAGCCAAAAATAGTTCCCGTGTCCTAAATTCCACATTAAAGGCAGCGGACACGGCGCCTCGGCAGCTTTTGTTTTTAAAACAAGCGTGACAGAAAGATGTAAAGACCTGCAGCTCGCTCACTTTAAAGGTTAAATGCATAAAAAAAGCTCAAGTTTTGTTTCCAACTCTGAAACCAAAGTCCTGATAAGTTTGACCTGATGTGGAGAAGATAAAGCACAAACTACGCGTCTTTTTTTTTTTAAACAAATACCCTGCCAGTTGCTTTTACTTTGTGTTTTTGCTTTTCTGTAATCAGTTTGTTTTTACACAAAGATAAATGTTTGTATTATTGAATGAAGGGAGTAACAGAGGCAGGAGCTGCGGTCCCTCTGCTCGCCTCAAACCGGAGAGGCCGGAGTCTTTATTTGTGCCGTCGAGCTGAGGGCACGCACCGACTGAGCCAACAATAATGTGTCATGTATGGCAGGCTGTTTTACCATATAATCAAAGTAAAACAATCAGTTTAAAGTGGAGATGTAGAAATGTTTTCATATTAAACAGAATGACAGTTCAGATGTTTTCCACAGGCCTGTTGTGATTTATGAGTTTTATTTTGAAAATCAAATGTTTGCCTGGTGTTTTGTGTTAAAGGTTTTGTTGTTTCTTTGATTAGTGACACATTATTGTTGGCTCAGTTTAATATGAAGGTGCACGTCAGTCTCAGTCCTGGACCTCAGAAACCCACCGAGGCTCCGTTGCTCTTGGGCAGCTTGGCGTTGCTGGCTGGGGGGAAGCACCGAGCGTCCGTCACTGACGAGTGTCTGAAGAGGAACGAGGCCTTGTTGCTGCCAGCGGCGTCTCTGTTGCCGGGTCTGGACGGCGGTGCCAAGGCGGAGGAGGGGCCCCTGGAGGTTTGGTGGTTGGTGGAGGTAGGTGGGGGTGTCGCTCTGGGGGCCCCCGAGGCCTGAGTCCTGGACGCCGGGTAGAGGAAAGTGCTGTTGTTGATGCTCCGGTTCAGGTTGGAGTCAGGTCTCTGGGGCTCGGGGGTGACGGTGGGCGAGTCGCAGGTGGAGAGCTGAGCCAGCTGGTCTCTGAGCTGCTGCACCTCCTGAGCCAGACGCTCCACAGGGTGGAGGCTGCTGCTGGAGACAGGATGACTGAAGGCCTGAGGACAGAGACACACGTTAACATCTAACTGCTCCTAACTGGTGTCATGTTTGACTGAAAGTGATTAGTTGTAACATTAGACTTTATTTGATAAACATTTATTTTAACTGTAAAATAAAGACTGAAAATACTGTAGGATGGTCAGTTTTTATAAATTTTAAAAATATATTTCAACACGGACAGACCCATTTTATTTACACGCAAAGCATTCTGGGTAAATGATGACGTGGATAGGTCCTCGGTGCGAGGCTGCTAGCGAGCTACACTTACCGGCCACTTTATTAGGTACACCTGTCCAACTGCTCGTTAACAC